ACACCCTAGTCTGGCCTTTACACATGCACTCAGGCATGCATACCTGCATGCATATATGCACATATACAAATTAATTAAATGTAAACAATCCTTGAATCCAAGGTTAGAGAATACTCATGGGTATTTCACTGCAAAACATTAATCTTTGTAGACTCTCCTTCTGCGTAAGCACGAGGCCGGCCCCACATACTCACACCCCACCGTCACTGTGTGCTAAGACTATTCAGGAGCAGTACCTCCAAACACCCCCTGCTCTATGATCCCACCTCTGCACATGTCACACTCCCATTCAGACACCTCTGCTTACAGTGCTGACCATCGCCACCTGTCACATGGCTTCAGAATGTGATTCTGAGGAAAGCAGAGCTCTCCCTCCTTGTGTACATTTCTGTTGGCCGCTTCAGGGCCACTGGTAATTGATTAGAGGACAGACTGCAGGAAGGATGCCCGGTTCCTTAAGCTGGAAGCAACAGGTCGGAGGAAAATTTCATCTAGCTGTGCACACATGCAAGCAGGGCAGGGAGACTAACGCTGGAGAGGAGTCTGGCTGGCCAAAGTCCACGTGCGTCCCTCCCAAGGAGCCAGGAAGCTCCTGACAAACCAACTTCAACCCAGGAGCATGATGTACCAGCTACTCTTCTGCTGCTGTGATAAGACACCATGACCAAGGCAACTTACGGAAGAAGTTGACTTGGGCTTCTGGTTCCAGCGGGATGAGTCTATGATGGCAGAGTAGAGGCATGGCGACTGAACCTCCAACACGAAACAAAAGACAGTGAGCTAGAAATGGAGGGAGTCTCAAAACTGGTCTCTAGTGACACACCTCTAGCAAGTCCACACCTCCTAAGCCTCCCCAAACAGCACCTCTAACTAGGGACCAAGCATTCAAACGTGGGACTACGCCCAAGACCATAGGGAAACATTTCTTAAGAAAATCACTCTAGCCAGGCAGTTTTTAAAAGAAAATCACTCACAACTTTAATTCCAGCACTCGAGAGGCAGAGACAGGTGGATCTCTGTGAGTTCAAAGGTAGCCTGGTCTACAAAGTGAGTTCCAGGACAGGCTCCAAAGCTACACAGAGAAACTCTTCTAAAAAAAAAAAAAAAAAAAAAAAAAAAAAAAAAGCCAGACAGTGGTGGCGCACGCCTTTAATCCCAGCACTCAGGAGGGAGAGGCAGGTGAATCTCTGTGAGTTCGAGGCCAGTCTGGTCTACAGAGTAAGTTTTAGGACAGGCTCCAACACTACACAGGGAAACCCTGTCTCGGGGGAGAACAACAACAACAACAACAAAAAACCAAGAACAAAGAAGAAAGAAAGAAAAAAGAAAATCACTCTAGTGACCTAAATAAATAAATAAAATTTCAAACTCTATGAACTAGAAGAATGCTAGGACACATATGGGTAGCCCAAAGGAATCAGTAACCGTGGTAATGACACACAGGAAGACGGGGACTGGGAGCTATTCAGAGCAGTCCACAGAACTTGATGACATGACAGACATGAAGCTTGAGAAAATGAGCAGCCAGTGTCCAGTCACTGAGAAAGGCAAAGTGGGGGGACGCACACGGCTGGGGTGGGGCAGCCCGAGTCTAACAGAAAGATGATGGGGGCATCTGAACAGACACAGGCCTGTGGCCGCCCACCCCACCACATGGACTGTTTTCAATGCAAGGTAAATAAGACAGATGGGGCAGCCTGTGCTTGGAATCCTGTAATTGGGAAGCAGAGACATGAGACCGAGAGTTCAAAGACATTCTTGGCTATATAATGAGTATGAGGCAAGCCTAGGCTATGGGAGCCTTTTCAAAAAAAAAAAAACAGCAAAAACCAAACTAACAAAGACTGTTAGTATGGCTCAGCAGGTAGAGTGTCTACTGTCCAGACAGGTGACCTGGGTCTGATCCCAAGGAGCCACATGGTGGAACAAGAGTCAACTCCCACAGTTGCCCTCTGATCGCCACACACTTGTTATGTCATGCATGCATGCATGTACACATATACACAGACAGGAACGCATGTATATGCCCAATAAATATAGACAGAGGCACAGACAGACCACACCACCAACAAATGTAAACTAGTAATAAGAGCAAGCAGGGCTGAGGAGGTGGCCCTGTGGATAAAGTGCTTGCCACACGAGTGTGAGGACTGGAGTGGAATAGCCAGAGCTCACATACAGCAGTACACATCTGTAATCCCTCTCACCAAAGGCAAGAGACAAAAAAGCAGCTCAGAAGCCCATGGGCCAGCTGAGCTGGTGTAAACAGTGAGGAGCAAGAGACCCTGTCTCTTGTGTGGGTCCTGTGACAGGCAAGGACTAACACTCAAGATTCTTGTCAAAGCTCCACACATGTGCCATGGTACCCATCCTCCAGAACACACACACCATACACACACATTCGTATATAAAGCAAGTGGAGTAATAGCTCAGTGTAGTTCTTTAAACTTGAGAAAGAGTCAAGTGGTGCCTGTTGGACCAAGCTGAAAGTCACCCAGCCAGCCGCTTCCTTAAACAGCTCATGGCTGGCCCCGCCAGACTGTACCAGCACACCTCTGTGCCAGCTGCTTCCTTAAACAGCTCCCTGGCTGGCACCGCCAGACTGTACTACCACACCTCTGTAGATAAGACACGCAGGCGGCACACTGCTTTCTCTGTTTCTGTGATGACAGCAACCAGAGCCTTGGCTACGGTAGGCACATGGAGCACTACTGAGCCGCACCTTCGGCTCCTGGTTTGGTTTGACTTTTGCAATGCTAGGGGCAGAACTGGGGACTTTATACATGCCAGGCAAGTGTTCCACTGTTAAACTCCATCCCCAGGCACTACTGTATCACTGAATTCACTGCAAGCTAATTCACATTGAGAATTTTAATTTCAGCTGGACAGCAGTGGCACACACCTTTAATGCCAGCACTCAGGAGGCAGAGGCAGGTGGATCTCTGAGTTCCAGGACAGCCAGGGCTGCACAGTGAAACCTTGTTTCAAGGGGATTTTGTGCGTATGGCTATTTTGCCTGCATGCATGCACCACATGCACGCCTGGTGTCTGCAAAGGTTAGAAAAGGGGCATTGGATCCCCTGGAACTAGAGTTACAGACAGTTGTGAGCTGCCATATGGATGCTAAGAATCAAACCCAGGTCTTCTGGAAGAGCAGCCAGTGTTTTTAACTGCTGAACCATCTCTCCAGCCCTCTACGGTCTCTTTTAAAAGAGACAGACAGACAGACACTATCCAGGCAAGATGGCCCATAATCCCAGCACTCAGGAGGCTGAGGCAGGAGAATGGTGAGTTTGAGCTCAAACTGGGCTATATAAGGAGACCCGACCTGGGTAGGGGAGGGAAAGAAGAAAAGAGAAGGGAGACCCAGAATCTCTAGAGCACATTAATACAGCTGGAAGAGTAAGCATCCTTCAGTAGACACTCTACTGGCCCTCCGGCAGCCAGGCCGCTAACAGGGCCTACCCGACTTCTCACAGCATCTGAGTTTGCCACCTCTGATCAATGATCAGATCCAAAAACTAAGCAAAAGCACCTTTAAGGACCATGGCCCACCTCTCCATTAGAAATGAACAATAGCATGTGGCACGTATTGGTCACTGTCTACTAGCAACAGGAGACTCTACCCTCAGAAGATTAATATTTAGCGTCTTGGTTCACTGAGCATACAAAGTCACAAGTGGAATGGAGTCAAAGTCTGAAGCTTTGAAAGAACAGAGGAAATGTGGACCTGATTTGATTTACTACTAAGGATGTTCTGTTCAAATGGCTTCTGAGTTTTGCTTTGAAAGGCATCTTACATCTTCCAGGGATGCACTGAGTACTTACAGATGGGTAACAGGATACTTCTGAGTTGCTCTAAATATGGAAAGACAATGACAAATGCTGCCAACTCTGTGGGGGGAGGGGAACCCTCAAACACTGCTGGTAGGATGGAAAACAAACTAGCCCCCTTGGAAAATACAATGCGGCACTTCTTTTCTTTTTCTTTTTGGTTTTTCAAGACAGGGTTTCTCTGTGTAGCTCTGGCTCTCCTGAAACTCGATTTGTAACCCAGGCTGGCCTCAAACTCACAGAGATCCACCTGCCTCTGCCTCCTGAGTGCTGGGATTAAAGGTGTGTGCCACGCACAGCTGGTGTGGCACTTTCTTAAAAATTAAACCCAACCCTACCATGTAGCCTGGCAATTGCACTCCAGTCCTGAGTGTCACCCAAGAGAAACAAAGACAGACAGCGTCACAGACTTGTGTGTGAATGCCGGTGGTAGGACTAGTCGTTGTAGGAAGACAGGCATGGGGCACACACCTGTAATCCTAGCACTGGGAAGACTGGGGCAGGAAAACAGAGGCCAGCTGTACCAGGCAAAAGGTGATCACCCAGAGTGGAGTAGTATTCAACAATAAATAACATCAAATTACTGACTGGGTTAGGGAGAAGGTTCAGTGGATAAATGCTTGCCATACAAGCGCCAGGACCTTAATTCAGATCCCATGGACCCACCTAAAGCCAGATGTGGTAGCACTCATGTGTAATTCCAACATGTATGTCTATGAGAGGCGGAGACAGGAGAATTCCCAGCAACTTGCAATCTAAACTGCCAGATACAATAGCAAATAAACCCTGCCTCATACAAGGTGGGAGGCAAAAACATTCAAGTCTGCCCTCTGCCTTCTACACAAACATCTCAATGCACACACACGTAAATATCTCAATGCATGTGTACACACACACACACACACACACACACACACACACACAGCACATGCATACACAAAAGATAAACTGAGCCATGGCACAACATGGACGAATCTAAAATGCATATGAAGCCAGGGACAAAAGCCAACCCACCGTGACTCCATTTTTCATAAAGTATCTGGCAAGGGCAACTCGGTGAAAACACCAAGTGGAAGGGTAGCTGCTTGGGCATGGAGTGAAAGGGGATTTATAAGCCAACAAAAGAGGTCAGTGGAGGGCTCCGAGAGGCGACAAGGCGTCAGACTTTCCACACTGACTAATCAAGAAAAATCTGCAGAGATGCAAGCAGGAAAGAGAAATTAAACTAGGCCCGAGGAGCGACAGGACAGGCACGATGGAGGCTGAGTCCTCCTACTTGGACTTCATCTCCTGCGACCAGACAGACCGTCAGAATGCAGTGCTGACATCTAGGGTGACTCAGAGGCGGGAGCATGCAGAAGCTAGCTGGAGACATGGGCGAGCTGGCACTTGCAGGGGCAGAAGGACAGGCATCGGGAAGTACTCCAGACAAGGAAGCCAGCAGTCAGCCCGAGAGCAGTGATGCGAACACCCCATCTTGAGTCTGGCCTTGGTCCTAGAGGCTAGAAGAGAGACCTGCTGTCCCTTCCTGGAACTGGAGCCTGGGCACAACCCAGCAGCCTCTTCTCTGGGCCCATATCCCAGGGCAGCCAGGCCAACTGAGAACCTCATAGAGGCCCCTGTGGTCACTACTCCAGCAAAGTCCTCTGCTCACACCCACGGGCTCCACTCTCCCTCCACCTTCCCATGGTACCCAGGCACACCATCACCACGGGATGTTATTTATTCAGCTAGGTGGGGGTGGGGCTTGAGCCAGGCCCTGCCCCCCAGGTGAGCAGCCCCCACCTGGACAGGGACTGTCCCACACCACTCATCTCTCCAGCCAGCGGCCTAGTCAGAAAGACCTTCTTAGCCTTTCAAAGCCTCCTTTACATTTTTAAAAACATAACTTTTCAACAGAGAAAGGGGAGCTGACAGTCACTTTTTTCCGTTTTGGTTTGTTTTGAAAGTCATTAGCTTAGCTCTGGTGATCTGTGCAATTCTTAGTTCCCGTGTGGAGCCTCCCAGATCCAACAGGAGGAAAAGGATTTGACCAATTCTTTGCCCTTTGTACCAAGAAAGTGATTCTTAGGTTCTAGGAAATAAACACTAATGATTTGTGTGAGGGGAAAAAAGAGATCTGTGGAAGGCAACAATTATAGTAAATAATAATATACTGATAATTATAGTAAATAATAATATAGTGATAATTATAGTAAATAATGAGTAATCACAAGGACCTAACAATTAAACATGTGACTGTTATGCACAGAAATTAATACCTCAAAAAAGTTGCTTTTAAAAAGTACAGAATAATCCAGGCAGTGGTGGCGCATGCCTTTAGTACCAGCACTCGGGAGGCAGAGGCAGGTGGATCTCTGTGAGTTCCAGGCCAGGCTGGTCTACAGAACGAGATCCAGGACAGGCACCAAGACTACACAGAAAAACCCTGTCTCAAAACAAACAAACAAGTACAGAATAAGGAGCTGGAGAGATGGCTCAGTGGTTGAGAACACTGGCTGCTCTTCCAGAGAACCTGGGTCCAATTCCTAGCACCCACATGGCAGCTCACAACTGTCTGTAACTCCAAGATCTGACCCCCTCACACAGACATACATGCAGCAAAATAAAAACAAATATTTTTTTTTTTTAAAGTAAGGAATAAGCCAGGCATAATGGTGCATACCTTTAGTCCCAGCACTAGGAAGGAAGGAAGGGAGGGAGGGAGAGAGGGAGGGAGGGAGGGAGGGAGGAAGGAAAGACTCAGCAGTGAAGAGAATATATGGCTCTTGCAGGGGACCCAAGTCTGGTTCCCAGCACTCACATGGGGCAGCTCACAGCTGCCTATCACTCCAGCTCCAAGGCACCTACTCTCACATACACACACACACACACACACACACACACACACACACACACACACAAATACACATAAAGAAAAATAAAATGAATCTTTTAAAAATCAATTAATACTCCTGATAGTTGGTGATCACTTCATGTAAGTCTGGGTTTTAAACCTGATCTAGTCTATGCTTCCCGACCTCAAGCAAAGCAAGACTATCTCGTGCCTCTTCAATAGGCCCGCTGTGGGTAAATGTCATCTGTCTAAGACGAAGAACAAAGATTCTAGTACCAATTATAGAACAAGCTTAGGAAACCTGTTACAAGAGAGAAAACCAAGTCATTTGGCCCAGGAGAGACTCAACCACAGAACTACACTAAGTTGACACAAGGGACAGGAATCAACCACAGAACTATTCTAGGTTTGCCTCTACCACCAAGGCTGGCATATAAGGTTGGTACATAATGGCCACCAAGGCTGGCCAATATAAATACTGCCAGTGTTTACCTAATGATACCAAGTGCCTGGCATTTTAATACTAGAAATATTGAACAGGAAACAGGAGACGTAGTCCCAGTGTGTCCTGTTCCAAGTTTTGTTTCTAATTCCTAAGCTTTATCATCTCAGCTACATTATGTACTCAGTAAAAACAAGCTGTAAACTTCAAAATGGGAGAATTTAGAAATCAGGAGTTCTTAGACCCAGAGTGATTAACCTGCAAGTTGGAAACTACTGATTAGCTGCACCAGGATTATGAAGTCACGGGAAGGCCAAGAAAGTTGTGTGGCCTTCAACAAGTATTTCTCTGGGGACAGCTCCTACAAGCTCCTTTCTTCAAAAGGAGCCAAGACTGACCTGTCTTGCTGTGCTTAAGAGTTACTTTATTCGAGATCATTTTTATTTACAAACAAAAGCCGGCAATGCAAGTATGCCTGTACAGATCTGGCCAGGTTTCAAATCTAGAGTCTGTCTCTATTCTTTAAACTCTACATTCCCAAGACTTGATGCCTCACGACTAATGCAAGGTGTTTTACAAGACAGCTGTGTCTAGGTCCACAAACTTACTGAAACACTTGGGAAATGTACGAAGCTTTGAGTCACAATGATGACATCTTCTGTTCCCAAATATATTAACCTGCTGACAACTTTGTGTAAGCCTTAGAGAACTTTAAACTGTGGGTTACCAATAGCGGTTCCTAGTGTTCATTCCAAGTCTGTCATGAACATCTCCCTTAGGCAATGACATAGAGACAGAAAGGAAAAGACCCACTACTTAGAAACACTTGGAATGTTGAGTCTGAATTCTCACGGTTGTTCTTTCTCTCTTTCTTTCCTTCTTTCTTTCTTTTTTTCATTTCAGGCGAGATTTGAATTCCTCTTAGGAATCCTCGCTTTGGTCGGTCAATCGAGCACCCTAAACCAAGCAGGGAAAAGGCTAAGATTCCACACACCTTCAAAGCGCCAGGTGCAGGCGCACGGAGGGGCGGAGATCACGGACAAGAGAAACTGGGATGAAAGTTGTGTCAGGGTGAGGAGGGAAAGGAGGGTACCGCCGGCGTGGATCCCAGGGAAGCCAGCAGGGATCGCAGGGGCGGCCTCTCGGGTCCTTTGGGGTTTGGGCCGCGGCTGGGAGCCTTCCCCAAGACCTCCAAACTGCAGGGAGCAGACTAGCCGAGGCACCGGCACCGCGGAGTCCGTCCCCACAGGGCCGCGCAGACCCCTAACTCGGGAGTCAAACTTAGAGACCCCGCAGGGCCGAAGTTGGCTCAGCCCGGAGCAGCTGTCGCGCCCCCGTCTCCACTCCCCGTCCCTATCCCCATCTCGCCAGGCCTTACTTTGAGCGCCAGGTGGTGGACGCGACCCAGGCCGGGGCCGACCAGCAGCGCCAGCAGCGCCAGCAGTGGTAGCAGCCGCAGACAGTAGGAGCCCGAGCAGCCGAGGGGAACCGGGGCGGCCATGTTTGTTCCAGCATCACCAGCTACTTCCTCTACCACCCACTTCCGGATCAAAGTGCGGCGTCCCGGAAGTGCTCTGGAAGGGGGCGCGGCCGCCAGCTCTGAGGTCCTTCAGCTAGTTATACTGCGAAATGCAACTCTGGGCACGGAAGGACCAGAGCTAGCCACCTCGGGACTTGTCAGTTGGCTTTCTCAGTGCAGACTTCCGGTGAAGCCCCTGTGAGGACCCTGAAGCGTTTGCCCAGAGCGGGGCAAGACCTCGCCCGGCTTGGGGACCGCACCAAAGGCTGGGACCCGCAGTGTCTGCCACACGCTCCCTGGCTGTTGACTGGCCTGTCGTCGGTGGTAATATCGTGGAAATTGCTGGCTTGTCTTAGATCCCTTGATTTATTATTATCCTAGGCCCTTTACCACAAACCCAGGCGAAGAGTTGTAGTAATAGGATTCATCGAGTCCATATGAAGCAATCTACTAGGCTTTTTTTTTTTTTTTTTAATGGCATTTAATCTTTGGGACAATCTAATCAGATAAGAGGTAGGTGTCATACTTCTGCCCTACTCTATCTGAGCTCTGAGAAATGGCCATTGGTCCAGGTTGAGCTGGGGATCACATGGAAATTTTTAAGTGATACATCACTTTGCCTCATGTGATTTCATGCCACCACTAGAGTCTGAGCCTTAATGTCTTCTGTTGTAGTCCCTGTAGAGACTTTGCTTCCGGTCCTTGGCAGTTGAGGACTTGGTAGTAGGTCCCTGATACATTGTTTATCAAGGAGTTACAGGAAACAAGTATATTAAAATTGCTGGAAAAAAAAAAAAAATGAGCCGGGCGGTGGTGGCGCACGCCTTTAATCCCAGCACTCGGGAGGCAGAGCCAGGCGGATCTCTGTGAGTTCGAGGCCAGCCTGG